AGTGCAGCTGCTCTTAATCTCCGTCGATCCTTATCTACGATCCACCATCACCGGCCGTGATGGTGACCTGTACTTACCTCGACCTCCCCTCAACAAGGTTCTAATCATTTGTCATATTATTTATTCTGAGAACTTATTTAATGCTTCTTAAAAAAATAGGATTTTTGGTGTTTTCGATTCAACACCATTTTTGGCGATATCATCAAATTTTACTTGCATCACAACTTTATTAAATATGGTGTTGTATTATAATTTGATAAAATTGCTAAAATGGTTCATAAGGATTGTTTTTTTATTTAATTTGGTTCCAATATCTTCAAAATTGTGGAAATGGTTTTTTGTCAATTTGGTGTCAAACTTGAAAATACCATTTTACCTTTTATATATTGCTTTTCTTTGAATATTTTAATTTATTTAATATATAAAGAATATTTATTTGAAGTCTAATTAAGTTACAAAAACATTATATGCTTATAATGTCTTTTTATTTATTAAATGGTGTTAACGATTAATCATTATTTTGCACAATTATACACCATTTTAAACTGGAAAATGACGTTAGGAGTAAGATAGTTTTAACAAACCTTTTTTGTTATTATGTATTTACTCAAAAACCAAAAATAAAAAACTTGTACAATATACATTAGGGCTTGTGCCAAATGTGTGTGAAAGATGGATTTTGGATGTGTAATGAGTTGAAAAAGATAAAATTAAAAATAGAAAAAAAAAAAAAATACTGATGCCACTCATTGGTGAGATGTCAATTGAAAAGAAATATGAAAGGAGCTTTCAAAGCTAACACCAAATTAATCGGTAGAATGATTATATAACATATGGACCAAAATTATAGTTTACACTTTCAAAAATAAAATATAACTAAAAATATATTTTTTTTTGTTTAAACTTTGTCAATCCAAGTCCATGTTATCGCGTAATTTGTTAATATTGGTCCCACTTTGTAAACCATAACTAACTACCACCTATCAACTTTTGACTTCGATAATTGACAAAGAAACATTAAACTTATTGATTAAAATATGTTATTTAATATCAGCTTATTTGAATTAAAATATGATAATTACTGTCTTTTTTCTAAATAAGCAAACATAATTTTTACAATCTTTCAGACTTATCTTTGAAGTCTGGCCTGCATGATGACGTAAGAATCTAAAGATGACAAATTGAATGCATAATAAATTAATAATACACGAATAAATCTTAATTCGGTCAAAACCAATGCATAGTAAAAATATAACTTTATTACATTAAATACAAAAAGAATATCACTATATCAGACATCATCATTAAGATAACATGTCAATCATTTAAAAATTGATAATATAAAATGCTTTAGTTAATTATACGCTTACTTTCTTACATGCTTTAATTATTGTATGTTTGTAGGCAATCACAGGGTTTGGCATAGGGAGGGTGGTACGATCAAAAAATAAAAACTTTAACGAGGGTGATATCGTCATTAACCCTTTTTCACCTGTTGCTGAATACAGCATCGTGCCAGCTGATTTCCTTAGAAAGATTGATCCAACAACCGATATCGCGTTGCCTAATTACCTCAGTTGTCTTGGTAAATCACTAAATTGCCATTTCATTTAATATTTTACTTTATTGTTACATTCGTTATTCTTTTCGTTAAAACGTTTTTATCGATGATAAAATAGTAACATGAATATATCGTAACCGTTACCAAAGGTAAAGTTGGATTAAAAATGATGTGCAACATAAATTTATTTTACATTCTTTTCGGATAAACACATTTTAATCTCTAATCAACTGAAAAGTACAATTTTAATAACTTCAATCTTAATTTACACTTCTACTTTTGCTCAACATATTTCTTGATACATGAATAAAAACATACTTTCAATTTGAACAAGTATGGGTTAAATATTATATATAAAAAAATAATTGCAAATCTTTTGTTATTTATCATAAAGTTTAAGTTGTTTTAAAATTGTGATATGAAAAAAATAATATTGATACATGAAACACAAGGGGTACCCGGCTTTACTGCATGGGTGGCAATAGAGGTGCTGGGGAACCCTAAGCCTGGCTCAAATGTGTTTATATCTGCGGCTGCTGGAGGTGTTGGAATGTTTGCTGGACAATTGGCTAAACTAAAAGGATGTCGAGTTGTTGGAAGCACAGGGTCTAATGACAAAGTAAGTTTTAATTTATACAAAAAATTGCATCACGTTTAACTTATATAAATGCAAGAAACATTAATGCTCTCTTTAGCGTGCATAAGTTAGCTTGTTTTTTTTTTATTGACATTATTGGAAGTTAGTGTTTAATGAGACCACAAAAGTAGATTAACGTAGCTTATATGAATATGAACTAGTTTTTTGATAAGTTACTTTAGATAACTTATTGATAAATTAGTTTACAAGTTAAAAACTAGTTTTCTGCTAACATGCCAAAATATAGTTTTAACCCAGATAAGCTATGTAATTTAACTAGCGTTTGATAAAACTACAAAAGTAGTTTATAAGCTCTTATAAGCGAAAAGCTAACTTTTCAGCTAGTAGGACGTTACTTGTATGTCAAACAATATATAAATTTCTTTCTATTACTACAAACATTATACTTTTATTGATTTGTAAAGATGTTATCTTTTAAATAACAAATTATAATATTGTGTTATTAGTTTTGTATTGGATATTATATTGTATAAAATCCACATATATATAACATTACAAAATCATTGTCGTTTATAAATGTTAACTTATATATAATATATTGTATTAGAAAAAAAAAAAAAAAAAACTAAGATGATTTGTCATAATATCGTTATCGATTCGGCTCAAATTTGGGGACATGAGTTATTTGCTATCATTTAGATATCTTTGGTTATATGTTTGACGGACTAATTGAAAAATAAAAATTTAGCTAATAAAAAAATAAAATTTGGTAAACTAGACGATAAGTTAAGTGAAATATGTAAAATGACATGAAAATACATGTAGAAAATTGATTTTTTTTTATAATTAATAAATATTATATTATCGTTGCAACTTTAGTCTGAATATGATTTTTTAAATCCACATTATAAACTCGTTTTTGAGTTCCTAATTAAACATGACAAACTAAAAAAAACTATAAAAATAAACTTACTTATAAGTTAGATGTCCTTACTGATTTTAAGTTTGACATTAGGAATTCACACGTTGTGTTTATTTTAAACCCTTAAAAACAAACAATTCATTTACAAAACCAAACAATTGTCTGAAAATGAAAAATGCAGGTTCAACTTATAAAGGACGAATTTGGATATGATGAGGGTTTCAACTATCATGAAGAATCAGATTTTGATGTTGCATTAGCCAAGTAATTTAAATTTCCTACATAGTATAATTTTATTCTCTTAAATTATTCATCTTAAAAACAATTTTTTTCACTTATATCACCATGTGATACTACACATACACATAGACATACAACCTTTGTACCATAACTGATATGAACATATATAATCATGGACAATTACTTGTGGCTTTCTGACATTAGATAACCCATTTAATTTTCACATTTACAAACAAATTGTAGGTATTTTCCAGATGGAATCGATCTATACTTGGATAATGTTGGTGGTAAATTGCTAGATGATGTTCTTAATCACGTCAATAAAGGTGCTCATATCGTCATAAGTGGGATGATATCTCAATACAACACAGTAAGTTTCTCTTGTTTGATAATCAAGATTATATTCTATTCAAGACTTTTTATCTGTTTACTTAACTTCAAAAAACTTCTTATGAGATAGATTCCGGCAGAGAGAGAAGGCGTGAAGAACCTAATGAATATGGTGGGAAAAGACGTGAAGATGCAGGGATTTCTTTGTGGTTCGTATTTGAATCAGTTTGGAGAATTTGCACAACAAATGGAAAAGTACATCAAAGAAGAGAAGATAAAGCCGAAACACAAAATAAATCAAGGGATTGAGAGTTTTTTTGAAAGCTTTGTTTCCCTTTTCTCGAGCTCCAACCTCGGAAAAGTTATTGTTCAAGTTGCAACGTAATTGAGAATGAATTATGTTGGAATTTTCTTCGCTATCCATATGAATCTATGCTTTATTGAATCATTTATGTTGGGTGAATTACATGATGTAAAAACTGACTACTGAGAATAAAATTTGTAGGCATTTGGTTTGCAAGAATCCTTTTTTTTTTTAATGAAAAAATAGTAGGGATGGCAATGAGCTTGGGTTGGAAGTTGAGTTGGAAGTTGATTTTCAACCAAATCAAACCTATGGGATAAATCAGTTAGAGAACTCAAACTCATTAAAACTTTATAAATTAGTTTATTTTTTTAGCTTATAGTAAATTAGTGTTTGGTGAGACTCTAAAATAGTCTATAAAATAATTTATACGCTAGTTTTTCAAGGGTGGAAGGTATCGTTGGGGGATGGAAGAAAAAGGGTGGCGGGTACTGCTGGTGATGAATTCGAGCAACCTGTGATCCCTCGATTTGTTTCTTAGAAAGTGAAATGGAGATTGGTTGCTTGTTAGAGAACAAATCTAAACAAAAGTCGATGCTCTCGTAATTATGAATCCGTCAATATAAAGAACGTCGAGAACATAATTTGTATGAAGAAGTTATGAATTTCGTAAAGTCTTTTATAGTGTATTCATTATAGACTGTAAATAAAAATAAAATATGAATTAGTCAATGAAGTCTAAATGAAAGTTGTAGTACTCGTCGATACGAAACCGGAGATATAAAGAACATTGAAAATGGAGCTCGTATGCGAAATATATGATTTTTTCTAAATATTTTAAATTTTTCCCGGAAGTGATGACGTGACGTCACCAGAGTGCGCCACGTGGCGGAGGTGGCAACCTCTTCTCCCAACCGACTTGATGGTGTGGCACCACAAAATGTCGACGTGAAGCCAACAGAAAGTCGACATGTGGCACCATGAGGATGTAACACATGTTGCAACCAGATGTAAAGGCTTCCTCCCTACAAAATGAATGAACATGTGGTAGCAGGAGAGGCGGCCACGTAACCAGATGCAGTCTCAAACTTTTTTCGCAAACCGAGGCATGACTTTAAGAGTTTTTAAGTGTTAGTAGTGAAGCTTTGGAGCATCAGAGAGCACGATAAAATAGAGCTTTCAGTATTAAAGTTCTTCCCGCATGGTTTCCGGTTTTTCACTAGCAAACATGTAAGTTGAGCTATACTTATTATGTTTTATGTGTAACTTATATTTTAGTTCATAGCCGTTAATATGAACTTATAAGTAAGATTTATCAGTAATATCGGTCGTTATACTGATCGATCTACGTATGAGGGGTGATGTCTAGACTAGATCTATGAGATGTTTAAAGTGCATTTTCCAAACAGTACATCTTTTTACAAAACGTATCCTACCTCCAATGTGATTTTACCTGGAGATAAACTTGGTAATTATATTCTATGTATAAACTAATGATTACAAGAGAATATATAATAAACATAATTACATTGAGCACCCTTTAATATAAATAAATACTAAAGCTATCTACACATTCTAATATTCCCCCACAAGCTAAGGTCGGGAAGCGACCTGTAGCTTGGATATAAGTAACAAAAATCGTTGTGATAGTAGAAGTTTACTGAAGACATCAACCATCTGATCAGTTGTAGAAATGAATTGAACAAAATTTTTTCTTTGGGCAACCTTCTCACGAACAAAATGAAAGTCAACTTCAACATGCTTTGTGCGAGCATGAAAGATAGGATTAGTTGATAAGTATGTGGCACCTAAATTATCATACCATAAGGTAGGGACAAATGTCATAGAGACCGGTACCTCATGGTAGAGTGTCTCAAGCCAGGTAAGTTCAACAACAATGTAAGTAATGGCTTTATATTTTGATTCTATATATGACATGGATATAGTCTTTTGTTTGTAATTTGACCAAGAGACTAAATTCGATCCAATATATATTCTGTGACAACCCGATATTTCAACTCTATGTAAACAACCTAAAAAATCAAGTATTGTAACCACGTTTGTTATAATGAAATTAACTTCGAAAATAAAATATCCAAAAATCACTAATTAAATTACCTATTATGTTAGATATCATTAAACTGTGATCGTACGTAAAAAGAACTCCCAAATCTGACTTCGTATAAGGAAGTTATGAATTTTCCATGTTCGGCTTAGCAACGGACAACTAAAAACTCGAATAAGAGATCGAGCGAATTTTGACCGGAATGACCTAAATGAGAATCGAAGGTCTCGACAATGGTTTTTCAATGGTAAAATGTCTGGCAAAAACAGACATCAGATAATGAAGTTATGAATTTCTAATGAAATTTTCTTACCGCAACCTTTTAAAAATAAATAATAAAAATAATTTCAAATCTTTGCCGACGGAATCTAAACGAAAGTTGAAGAGTATACTCTCACCTACGCGTGGATATAAAGAACGTCGAAAACGGAGTTCGTGTGAAGAAGATATGACTTTTTGAACTTTATTAAATATTAAAAATACAAAATTTAATATAATTTCGGTATTATCCGAAGGCTGCGTCACGCACGAGTATGCCCAGCGTACACGCGTACGCCCAGCGTACTCAAGGCCTAGGCCTTGGATCGTCCACGTCGCGCCCTATGCGAGCCTATGTCCCGTCCCATTCGGAGTCCGAAGCAGTCGAGGATGCGCTCATGTGTGACGCACGAGTACGCCCCGCGTACCGAGGCGGTTCCCACCCCCTATAAAAGGGATGCGAGGGTTCCGAAGAGGAGCCATTTCCTCTCATCTTTCTTGCGTTTTTGCCTCGTTTTCCGTGCACGTGCTATCCCGAAGTCTCGGTTACCTTGCTCAAGTCCCGAAGGTCGTTTGTGCTCCCGAGATTCCCGAGAATCCCGAGAAAATCCGCTTTCTCGAGTCGAAATTCTGTCCGATTTTCATCTTGCCTTCTTCGATCTTTCAAGTGAGTTCATACCCTTACAATCCACGCTTTTAAATGTTTTATAAATACTTTTATATGCTTTTAAGGGGGGAAATACAAGTAAAACACTCGATTATTATCGTGTGTTATATAAAGTTTCATTATACGCTTTTTATCAATGGAATCATATGTGATTTATAACTATTATAGGGAAACTTTCATATGCAAATTATACCGCGATAACATCTTATCTTTTGAAATAAGAAATGATTTATGTATTTATGTAAATCAAACACTCTGCTTATACTGTATGTATATGTGTCAGTTTTGGCACTACAAAAATTATACTTTTCGTAACAAGTGAGCATTCCACTAGGGATTACTATACAAACGAAACACACTTTTAGAAAACTATAACAGGTATAGTTTTACGAGAACACTATGAACTTTTACATATTGGAAATACTATTTCAATAAGTTACTTTCATATACAAGAACAAACGAACATTTTCACGTGTAAATCTGTTTTATACTAAGTTTTGTGAGACATTAAACTTCACATACGCTCGAGTATGCATTTCAATTCGTGTATTATATACCAGAATCCCTTAGAGGGGGAGCATGGTGTTTGTGTATAGATCTATACGGGATTGACAACCCCGCACCCTAACTGTTAGCTACAATACACCATTTGGGGTGACAAACGTGAGAACATTCCAACGCCTGAAGAACGTTGTGTATAGACATTTCTAGTCAATAGCATGGTTATAAAACTCACATAGAGTATTACAAACACATTGATTTACGGGGTTTTTAAGACGCATTAAAGGTTTTATACGTACATAACTTAACTACTTTAGGCATGAAACACCTAATTGTGATACAAGTTTAGAACTTCTAAACCACTACTCACAGATGGGAAAACATCAACTTTCTAAATAAACATTGGTTTTGATTTAAGGCTACATTTATACTAGTAGGAAATATGGGATTTTCTAGAAATTAACAAACAAAAACAAACCATTTCATTTTAGTTCATACAAATACTATCATTTAAATACTTATGAAACTCACCAACTTAAATGCTAATCTACTCTTTCAAAACTACTTGTATGTCCCAGAGACTCAGTAATTGCAGGTACCAAACAACTTTTTGCAGAAGGAACGTTGCGGCGTCAGTTTAAATTCATATTTTTGGCATTATATTTTAATTGGTTTTGAACATGTACTCTTTTAAACAATGTAAACTTTCAATTATATATATGATGGATGTGTTGCTTTCTTTACTATGTATTCATTTGTTACGTTACCACATGAAGTCATCTGCCCTCGAACGTTTCCACCGTTCCGGTTTGGGGGTGTGACAGATTGGTATCAGAGCAATGTTTATAGTGAACTAAGTATATCGAACATCATAAGATATACAAACTATAAATGCTTAGGGACTCAAAGTCTCTGACAAAAGGTTTTCACACCTAAAATCCTTATTTCATTTAAATAAATTACTTTAGGTCATGAAAATACAAAATACATGCATACAACGACATATTTTCATGATGAGAACTATACAAAAAGTATTAAGACGAGTTGGACACTACGATTAGTTCTCGAGATATGTAATCAAATTTGGGACAAATATAGCCTGATCAACTATATTTATCCGAGATTAGACTAACGTATATCGAGGAATGATCGTAGTGAGCAACAAGTCAAACTTACCAAAATGGATACTGGTATCAAACGTACAATTTAAATACTATAGGAGTATTTGGTGCATACAATAGATTAATTAGTGCTACATGTTTTCAAGTTTTGTTCAAATCTTATAACCCTATTCTCATATAGTCAAATGGATGGATTTCACCCACAAGGGGACCCCTATTACCCGAACCAGGGCAATGGAGGATGGGTAGATGAGGATCCTGAGGAGGATGAAGAACCTATCGAGTTGGAAGAAGGGGATAACTCTGGTACAGAATCAGAACCAGAAGTAGTCGATCCTCTAGCCATTAGGAGGAACTTCCAGGGACCAACTCCTGTTTAGGGAAGTCACCTCCACCATTGGAGCCAACAACAAGGGATAGGCTCTCCCTACGGTATGTGTCGAAACTTCTATGACGTCAGGGACGGAGGTTCAGCCGACCGAGCACTTCCGGTCATGGTAGGTAAACTGGCCAACCAGTCCTATCAATCGGGGGTCCAAGAAAATCGAATCCGCGAAGTAAACGTGGAAGTACAAGTTCACACGGCCGACATCTGTCGTTTGGATATGTTGCAGGATGACACCCACCTCCGCGCTGACG